GAAGCGAGGCATCCGTATTAGAAAGAGTGCGCCATATAAGCGTCGTCACTACGTTGCTTGGTAACGACAGTGGCGAAGGGGGGCCGATTAAGGAGCACCCTCTTTCTAACATACGTACTGCATGGTATTGCACGCTTCTATCTCTCATACACATTGATTGAAATGTAAAAGGGACAACGGCTTCGCCCAGCACTGTATACTGTTTAAAGGTATCGACATATCTACATCACGCAACCCAGGAACCACCACAGAAAAGCTCTTCGAAATCATCAAAGAAGACAGGTACCAGCTATCCGCTACCACACTACGACCTGCAATCCAGAGTACTACTCACAACTTTGACGATTTCGAATACGTGGACCTAGACGAATCAGCAGAACAGTTGTTCGAGGTCATCAGCACCTCGAATGCCAGCTTGGTGCACATAACGCCGAAGACTACCACAGGGGGTGGAAAAGAGGAAATTACGGAAAAGTATATTGATCCGAATTTGGAGTTGAATTTGACGATCAGCTTGGGGAAGGATGCATTGTCTGGTTAGTTTCAACTGGTAGGAAGTTATAAAACAAGAGGGTCATTTTTTAAGTGAGAAACGTTTTGTATTGGAGTCAGAAAAGCTTTAATCACGAATGTAAGGTGTAACACAAAAATATGACCATTTTTTCATGTTCAAACATAGTCACCATAAATGTTTAAACATTTGTCAAGTCAATGCACTAGCTTTTGGACCCCGTTGTCAAAGAACGCTGCATCTGACCGTCAAAACAGTTAGTAAGTGTTTATTTCAACATGTAATCATTTTCCAAACGCTTTCCAGCAAGCAATTCCTTAAATTTTGGTAAGAGATGAAAGTCTGATGGTGCTAAGTCAGGGCTTCACCGGCGGCTTTGAATAGCGCGCCTAACTTTCAATAGCAACTTCAACAATCTGCCGGTGAATTTCATCAAATCGTACTAGAGAAATCAAATTTTCAATGACATTTTTTCGGCAGATACTCGATCAAGATAACTTTTAAGGGGCTGTTATCTTTGATCAAAATTCGAACGGTTAGTTTCTTGAGGATTATTGAATTAAAAACTGTTTTCAAAATTTCACCCTCTCATGTCCGCCTTAATAAAAATGGAATCCAACCCTTCGGCCATGTGAAACAAAATGTGTCCGCGATTATTTTTTTCTCGGCATTATTTTCTACTGGCCAAGTTCATCAGAATTGTAGTAAGGTGTAAATTCGTACACTACATCATTTCCTTCCCTTAGCTCTTAAAGGAGATTTCACCTCTAGATGCATCTATTCATTCTTCACTGGATATTCGGTCTGACAATACAGTGATCCGCACGGGTATCAGCTATCTTGAAAAGTGACATTATGCCGATTTTTTTTACATTATGCTGTTTTTTTTTACATTATGTAGGTTTTTCTACAAGATATTAACTAAGCACTTAGTTGTACGTGTTGCCTAAACGTCATGAGGCTTGGTATCAATCTTTGGCTCTGATGTAAAATCTGCTTTTGAGATGACATTACTGGAGGTCTAAGCTGTAAGTTGTATGAGTTTATGATAATTACATTGGGTTCCTGTTTCAAATATACTTAATCGAGATTCAAAGCTAAAAATTAGTTGCCCAGCCACTTTTTCTTATACATTCTGGAAACTACATATACAAATTTGCTGAATTTCAAAGAGAGATCAGAAATAATTATATTCACTGTACACTGTCGAAGTACAAGCCATATACATGCTAACAATAGTTACACACAACTTTGAAGATAACCTCTCTTCAGAGAGCACAACTTATAAATAATCCGTCATATTCAGCATATTCAGTAGGTAATGATTTACTCACGTAGCAAATATCACCGATTCTATACAGATGCAGACCAATACATATAATCATCCAGATTAAATTCAACCAACTTTCTTCTCAGAGATAAAAACTACAGACACGGATCACTCAGCCACACAAAACTATGCAACCAATAATGCGTGTAGTTTAGTTGAGCGATTCCTCCTTACATGGACGTTCAGTGAGCAAACGTGGAATGACTGTTTGCACCCTAAAAAACTACCTAGTTTACAAGATGACATCTTACAGGTTTTTTTTGACATTTTATAGGTTTTTTACGTGATACCAGTGCGGCACAATTCCGGTCTATTTGTCCATTAATACTTTTTGGTTACGTCAAATTTATCATACTGAAGCTACCGAGAACGGCGAGCTTAAATCGGGAGTGAAGAGATTTCGAGCTACAGCGTAATTGTGTTCGTCACCCAAACGTGTTGATAGCATTAGTTTTAAAATGTCCTAACATGTACAGCGATTGCATTTATATCCTTATTATCAATTGCTTTTGCTTTTTAGAAATACTTAGGTACTATACAGAAAGGTTGTCCAAAATAATTTGATGCCTTCCAGAACACTCTGTATAGATCTTATCATAAGAGAAATATGTAATATTCATGAGTATGCCTCTTATAATGCCTAAGCGCTAACTATCTACAACCAAGATAAACAAATGCGTGGAAAGGTACCTATCTAACAAGAAGAATACACAGAACATCAAAAACTAATACGTTTAATATTCAAATCGTCCGCTATTGATGAAATGTACCGTTAAAGAAACCGCCCAATGAGCAATTCCTGCATTGTGAGTCCATGAACGGCATACAGGGGGGCAAATGTACACAGAAATGGAGTCAAGTAGGTTAACTCGATAATAAAAGAATATGCCGCTCAGTTCCGTTGGTTTATCTGTTTATCAGCCTGCTGGCGTTTCTATAGCCTCGCAATCTCAGCAACCAAAAGTCCGATTTTGATGGACGCGATATGATTTAGTGTCATATCAGACAAGGCTGTTTAGCCGCTGTAGTGGTGTCTCCTAATTAAAAAAAACCTTCCTTTGGAGAAACACAACGTTCTTTGTATTAATAAAATAACTCAAAACAAATCAAACATTTTCTAATACTCATTCTTATTGGAGTGTAGTTTCAAAAAAGTCTTTCAAGAGGTTCGAAATGTGTTCGCATGGACTCCCATCAGAGGAGCCAAGGGAGTATATGCCCCCTGGTATCCATAAAGAGTGGCGTGTATATTTTTACACTCATCAAGCCATCTCTACATTGAAATTACTTTTTCTCTAACCGGACCTATTTAACCCTTGCCTAACCTGCCCCCTCTTAATTCTGCTATCTCGACGTCCATATTTGTTGGTATTCTAAGTAGTTGATTACAAGTAATAATGAAATACCTGGATAATTCAAGGAGGCATTGCCTGGGTAATTTTAAGAGGATACATTTTTTTTTGAAATTTGTTTATTCTTGAAAATCGTAACAACTATATGGCCAATCAGTGTTAAAACTTTTTGAAACTTAGCATGTACAGATCTATTGACAAAAATAAGGAAAACACTTTATTCTAACCGTCAATCATTTGACCAGGGTAATTTAAAGTTAAGTCCGCCCTTTTCGCGTTTATGAGGCTTAGGAATTATTAAGGCGCCGTTTTTATTCGGTTTATTTCCGATTCACAGCGTTACATCACAAAAAGAAGAAATATTGAGACAGAAATTGACGAGGCACTGTATGTGCTTTTCAGAAAGGCCTCCCCTTATTTTTTGACCGAGAAGCTGAAGTTATGCAACTGACACATGGATACTATATTTCATCTAAAAATGGCAAATGAAAATTTCAAGATGGCGGCTGGGTGCCATCTTGTAATTTTTTTCAAATGTAATGGGAGTCATGAAAAAGTTGACAAATTTTGATAATTTTTCATCAGAAATGTTTCAAAGACTCTTCCAAAAGAAAAATATGGACATAGTGTTTTTATAATTGGAGGTTGGGCTGTAAGCGTCTTAATGTACAAAAACGCTCAACTACGACAGCCTGTCAGATTGCCATTTTGAACGATAGTTATTTTATATTCTACAGATAAAGTAGCGTCTAGCCTAGCCGTCATCTTGAAATTATCAGTTGCCACTTTAACGGTATTACTATTCGGGCATCTATTTCATTACCCCGCATTTCAGCTCCCTACCATGTTTCGTTCAAAAATAGTTAGTGGGATATATAACTTCGAAGTTGAGTCATTAATTTTTAGATAATGATTGTAGAAAGAAGGTAAACCAAAATATGTGTGTAAAAATAAAAAAAAATGTTACCTTGTTTTATAAAGTATCCTCCCGACAAGTATTTCAGTGCGGACCTATATTTGATCGTGCGGTCTTGGAGCACCGGCATGCCCTCCCCTGTGAGGTCTTAAGTCACCTGATTCACGAGCCCTTTGTACTACATTAACAAAGGCACGAGGGGTTGGTTGCACTCGATTGGGAAACCGATCCGCATAAATCCGTGATGCCGCGGCAGCATTTTGTAAAGACTCCCCCCCTCCGCCCCCGTAAATAAGAATCATGTCCATAAGTTCAGCATTTTCGTAAACATGTGCTATTTTTTATTTCATTTGAGCCACGCAACAAACACCACTATTCACTCACGCGTTACCGACTGACACATTGACTGAATACAACTGAATAAAATTGTAGTAAAAACATCGTGAAATTCTTTCGCTTTTTTGTTTCCGATGCGATGAACCGATAAGGCGGATTATATCCGTTGTTGCCAAACACCAGCACATAATATTATTATTGAGACAGGACTCAAACTTCTAAAGGGCTATAACTTTGTTACTTTAATTTAACCAGAAAAATGTTAAAGGAAAAAACATTTCTTTTGATCAGATCTACTCACTGTTAAAATAAATGACTCAACTTCGAAGTCACCCTGTATAATGCGTGGGATTGATCTATTTTACCGTTATTCATTGTTTTTATAAGTTATTTTATGATTTTGACAACGACGACCGTTTTTGCAGTGTTTCCAAAAATTCGTCTAATTTCACGTAACACTCGCCGCCTATGCCTGGAAATGCACAAGGAATATAAATGCGACTAAATAGGTCCGTAATCAATTATGATAAATCGCCCATAACGACCAGTGCCCACATGACCAGAAGCGAATGAAAGTTGCCGTAAAGGTGTAACTTTCATTCGAAGAAGACCCGCCGCGGTGGTACTTGGTACTCATGTCCGGAAATGTGCAGAGCGGTACCGGTATGGTAGTACAGATAAATTTGAAAATGAACGTTGTGTTTGCGATCATTGGTGTGCTTTCTGTGTTAGATGGTTCAGTATTGGGCGCCCCTGTAAGCTATGCGGCCAATCAGAGTTCGTCGGCGATGCAGATCGTTTTCATTCCTGCGAGGTTAGATGCATTTTTTAAGTTTTTACTTGCCGTGTTGATATGAGCACATACATACGAGTACTTGTAATGAAAAAATTCTAATAAAAAAGTCGAGTAGATTAACTACGCCTTCGTTGGAGGTTCCAAAATAAAGAAATTCGTCAAGTCGTTTCAAAAGGCGGAATCGGTAGTGGCCTCCACGACAACGCAGCTTCGCAGTGCCGCGTCTCACACACAACGCCGATTGAACGTTATTTGAGCACGTTACACATCAGACTTTTATATTTTTAATTTAATTTTCCCGTTGTTACCGGGATCAGAAGCTTCTTGATAATAGAACCTTCTTTGAATAATACTAAAGACGTAATATTACAACCCCCAATTTACAACTTTTAACAAACATTTTTCAAAAGTGATCAGGAGCCTCTGAAATGTCAGAAAACGGAGTTTGAGCGATTTTGATTTTTTTCGTTTTTGGCTTTTTCTCCGTGGCCATTAGACCGATTTTCCAAAAACTACAACGGTTTTGCAGCCTTCGCATTTTACAAGTAGTAGCATTGTGTTTTCTCAACATCCGAGCGGTGCTTCTCAAGTTATAGGCGGTTATAGGATTATCGGGCTGACCGACAGAGATGAGTGGCATGGTTTTTCGTCATTCGAGGACGGTTCAATAAGTACCCGTGTTAGAAATGAAGACACCATTTTTTCCAAAAAAAATCTTTCTATTTTTCAACATAATCCCTTCTTAGAAAGATACACTTTTCCCAACGTTCCTGCCATTTTTCCCCGCGAGCCATTTCTTCATGTCGGGGAACCAGAAAAAGTAGCAGGCAGCAATTCGCAATTCATGCAGTTTGGCGGCGACAACTCCGGATGCTGGTGCGTTATGGTGGTGAAACAGCACCTTCTTTTTCGTCAAATGTGGCCGTGTCTCCTTCAATTTACTCGAAGAGGTCCAATAACTCACTCCAGTGATCGTTCTTCCTTTTTCTAAAAAATCCACGAGGATGACGTGGTTCGCATCCCAAAAAATCGTCGCCATGACCTTTCCGGCCGATGGGACCGTTTTCGCCTTCTTTGGAGCAGATTCACCGGGGAAATTCATTGTTTTGATTTTTGCTTAGTTTCTGGTGTGTAATGATGAATCCAGGTTTTATCGACTGTGACAACTCGACCCAAAAACTCCTTCGGATTTCGCTTAAATTGATCCAAACACTGCTTCGAAGTTAACAGCCGCATCCGCTTGTTGTCCACCGTGAGCAATCGCGGCACCCATCGGGTCGACAATTTTTTCATAGCCAACTTATCATGTAAAATATTGATTGCCGTTCCGGTCGACACAATTACGGCATCTGCTACTTCGCGCACTTCCGTTTGTCGATCATCGAGAATCATGTCGTGGACTTTTTTAATGATTTCCTCGGTAAACACGTCTGACGGGCGTCCTGGTCGATCCTCATCAAAAACGGATGCTCCCCAAGTTTATATTCGTTGAACCAATATCTAACTGTGGTCGTAGATGACGAAGTGTCCCTATAAACAGCATCCAACTTTGCATTTATCTCCTCGCATTTTTTCCCATCCAAAAACAAAAAGCGAATTACCGAACGATACTGCTCTTTTTCCATCTTAACGAAAATCACGAAACACGTGTTACTCGAATGGCTGCCAAATCCAAACTAACCTATCAATCAATCCGAAATTTGTTGTGCCGTCGTTTGATAGATGGCAGCACACGGTGATAGCATTAACTTTCCTCAGGAACGCCCTCTATCGTCAAACACGGGTTCTTATTGAACCGCCCTCGATTGGCCTCAAAGTTTAAATCCTGACATTTTTTATTGAATAGTGTTAGGGCTGCTTTCATTATTGAATGTTATTTTAGACACATAAAAGCATCAAGAATGAAAAAGATTGTTGAAAATCTGACTTAACACCTTTTCAAAAGACTGTTATTTGCTTGGTCCGGAAAATAAAAATAGCAGAAATGTATTAATTCAATGATGTTATTTAGTAAAAGTAAACATTGTTCTTTTTTCTTATTACATACTTACAAAAGTAATAACAAATAATCCACACACCACAACTAATCGTCTTCTCTTCTTAAATTTTGGTGAAAGCTTCTAAAATTTGTTGGTATTAAAGGAGTTTATTCTTGAATCTTATCAAACTTTTTGGCTCCAGTGGGTCGGCTTGTATCGGCATTCAATAATAATGCTTAATTTTCTACTCTTCTATCGAGATTTCGCTGTTTTCTTATATCAACAATGGTCCAATTTTCCGTTTCACTTTAAAGAGTATATGTACTTGCTTACACCGAATTCTTCAGTCTGGATCTATCTTACATCTCTGAATGAAAATTTCTCATTATTTATAATTTTTTTCTATCGACCAGTCCAAGTTTTCTTGGAAGTTCTTCAATATCAACAAATTTGTCCACCATTCTTGTAATATTAAAAGGTGCGAGACGAGTGAATAGCAACGATCTGTTGGAACTGTTAAAGTATTTATTGAACCGCCCTCGTATATCAAAAAAATACAATATCTCGTTTTAGAAATTGTACGCGATTACAATACATACTTCCTCGCCCAGTGACAAAGGAAGCAAAAGCATGAGATATGTATATTTGGCCCATATATCTGTTGTGAGAACTTTCATAAGAAATCCCGAATTGGATAAAATTTTGTTAACGGATTAACCAAAATGTGGAAGAAGTTTTGTAATTTAAGAAAACGGATTTATAGGCAAAATCTGCATAAAAGCAGTACGCTTGAATGACGGTTTTGAACGTTTTCGAGATAATTTACCTCACCACTCGGCTTTTTCAAATGTTATCTCCTACTCGCAAATCTCGAATTATTATGTTTTTTGATTCCGCGCAAATTCTTGGCTTCTGTTTAACTTGGGAAGTACCTACTGCTTAATCAAATGACACAATGTTATTACCAAGCCACGGACCAAAAAGCTCTGGTTTTGAAAATCGATCCAGTGAAACTTTTCTTGAGAATTCAGAATTTTAAAAAATCGCATAGCAAATTAATCGATGTTTTTCAATTTTCTGATCAGTTTAGCTCATACTAAAAACGTTCTGAGTGAATTTAGCTAGATTTATATCATCGCGTGAGGAAATACTCAGTTAATCGGCTTTACTCGATTTTGTTCATGTATCTAAAGTCGAAAAGGCTGACTATACTTTATACTTTCCTCATCCAATATCACCATCCTCTGAAGTGATTAAAACTCGGTAGGTAGTCAACTAAATTTTCTGAACCCCTATAATTTTTGCGCTTGAATTACAGAATGATGTTCTGAACGGAAACAAAAATGCAATTGGCTAACAAATACATAATAATGGAGTAGCACGATTTCAAAATAGCGGATGTGAGAACAAGAATTCTCAACATTTTTCAATCAAACTCTTCCATTCCATTCTTTAAGGTTTAAAAACAGCAAAGATGAAATAAATAGTTTAATAATGACCTAATAAAACGCAAAATATAAAGTACATCCCGTCATTTCCTAAACTCGATTCATACATAATAAATTATATTTTTTTCAATATTCTAAAAATCTCTTTTGGCATATAATTACAATAAAAAAATGCGACTACCGTTTTGAAAATATACAAAAATACAACTTTATTCGATAGCACTAACATTGCCTGAGAAACTTTATATTAAAACCTTTCTATTTTTTTTTTTCTAAAAGGTCATGCAACAAATTAAGACGGGATCAATTTACAGTGGGACACCGTGCGTTCGACGTGGGATGCGTGTATTGAAAATATTTCTCTATCAGGAATCTTAATGGTAAAGTTATGGAATTTCTGGGGTTGAAAGCGTATAGGCATACTAACAGCAAACAACTGAGAACTGAAATGTCTTACTAGATGTTAGTCCACTAATTACGAGGTCTGTAAATTAAGTGATGATAGTAATTTTATTTATCTATTCAAATATAATTACAATTTTATATTGTCACCTCCAAAATAACTTCCATCTGAAGCCACAGAGCGTCCACTCATCATAGGAGTGCTGAAACTCCGATAACGGAATAGCCTTCAGCTAGTCGGTTTGAATGTTATCGACTGTCCCAAAATGTGTTCCCTTGAGATGGTAAGAGAAAAAGGGCACAAAAGGACTCAAGTCAGACGAATAAAGAGACTGAGGAATTACACGAATGTTTTTACAGGCCAAAAACAGGTTTATTGACATTGCTGTATGACAAGTAGCAATATCGTGGTGCAACACCCAGTTGTTCTTGATCTGATGAACGGTGGCGTGAGTAAAATTTAACTTTTCGGGCTCTTCACAAAACATTATCTCCATACGCCTACTGAAGTTTAGCAATAGTTTCCGTTGCACTGTGCCCAAGTCTGAAGCATACCGTTGTTGAAAGTGATATCACTGATGTTTAGAACACAATAGAAAAACTGTTTCACAAGAAAAATCGCTACGGACAACCAAACTACTTGAGCGAGCCAAACTTGTACCAGAGGCGGATCACATTCCGCAATCTCCCCTCCAAGCCCGGCGCCTGCAGTGTTGCCAGACCCAACACTACGTTGCCAGTCTCATCATTTAACTTACAGACCTCGTAAAACAGCATCAGACTCCTTTTGCAAAAATTGAATTACAACAATCTGCCTTAAATCTGCGCTATTCTGGTCACATCTAAAGAAAAAATTTATTCTTTTTTCCCCAGGTACATCTACGGGGTCATCCCTCCAGCACCTTACTACCCCCATCACCAGCAAACCAGAGGCCCCCTCCAATTCATAGGCAACTGGATCGACTCATCGGACTGGTTCCCCATCGAAGTCAACGTCCCGGACGTCTTCAGCAACATCGGATCTGGAGTGGGCAACGTAGCCCAAACGGTGGGTCAGCTAGCACAGAATATGGGTGCTGGGATTATGACCTTCACCCAGAACGTTGGGAGCGGGATCCAAAACTTCGCACAAGGGATTGGACAAAGGGTGCCCTTCATTGCTGCCCTTGTTAGGCCATCGACGACGCCGAATGAAGGTCAGGAAGTAGCTCCGCAAATGTATATGATTCTAGTACCTGAGCGAGGATATGCAGGGGACCCGCCTTTGAGTCAGATGGAGAGTGAAATTCTAGAGACTTTTCCGTAAACGTGTTTGATTGTGTGCAAATACATTTGATTCACATTTACATGAAGTTTTTGTGATGCTTGCAGTTAGAAGTACTATAGTCATAACTTGAAATTTACTTCTCAGAGCATCGCAATTACGGTCGGCTGAAATGTGTCATTATCATAGTCATACTTTTGCAAGGCATATCCAGACAAGGACTGGTAGGGAATAAAATAGAGATTACGGTTTGGAATCGCGATCTGTGACAAGCAGCAAGCATGAACTAAAGCAAGGCTAGGCAATCTATTCAACAGTCGAGCCAACTTGATAGTTTTAGGATCACTACGGATTGCTAACCACCACCTTGACAAACTGCCTCGTCGATTATTTCAAACGTTGGAAAATGTTTTGCTCTTCTCTTTGGTACCTTGGCGTGTTATATTGTGGTCTACAACCCATGCGATGATTAGCCTGACAAAATTATATAAGGACCGTATCACCAGTCGTTAAAACAGTTTTATAGGATGCGCTCTATTTTGAGGTTATGTTACAAATATCTATTTGCATTAAATTGTTCATGCTTTGTATTTATATCATATTTATTATCAGCACGGAATTTATTGTAGATCAAAAAGAAATCATAGCCTCATAATAGGAGAGTGCTGGTGCTGATACGGAACAGTTCAAATCTAGAAAGAGAGAAAAGACGTCCTACGATAAAATTGTAGGAACGACTGATGATACGGCTCTAAGTCCCTTACCCTGTTGCAATTGTTCTCATTACGTAGAGAATGCAGTACTGTGAATGTAGTATGGTAACTTTCTTTTGTTATTCCGAATATATAAGGAATTTTTATGATTATATTTATTTTATTTATTTAAATAAATAACAATTAAAATTGAAATCTAGTTCAAGGCGTATTTATTTTTCACTGGCACCAACAATACACCTCATCGAACAGATTTTTTAGCAACAATACTCATAAAGAAAAACCTGTCTACAAGGCTAATGCCTCATCAAATCTACATGTACTCACAAAAAAAGATTATTTTCTATTTTGGTAACATTTTATTTGGCCAACATAAATACATATAAAACATTCACTAATTACTTCGAGAGTCAACATACTTCTTCATTGCTTATTCCCACATTTGACGTTCTTTAATCGATATTTCCATATAGGACTTATGTCATATAATCTACAATGCATAAATGTAAGTATCTACCAAATTTAAGCATCCAACTATTCGAAGCCCGCATGAACCCACGACATGTATCATCTGTAATCAACTTAATTTATATATATATATATATATATATATATATATATATATATATATATATATATATATAAGTATAAAATAATTTAGCATCAAATGTTCTAGTTCTTACAAAACACAAAAACTGATCTGAAAAATTTCTTTAGTCGGATACTTCAACACGGGATGACGCGTTCTATACTTCAGTCGGTTATCTAATGGTAAATATGGATAAGCATGGGTCCCACAACTCTAGCATGTCCATCTACATTTAAATGGTAAGATACTATACCTATACTTGCACAGATGATTTAAAAATTAGTACCATAAAAATGTAGAGAGAAATGGGTGAGCAAACTAGGTCATTTGTTCTCTCTCAAGTAATAAGTTAATGATCTAAAAAGTCTTTAAAACACGCTACACATCATAAAAGTAATGTGCAAGCGGATACCTTATCACAAATGCTAGACATGTACAAAATATTTGAATTACAAGCAAAATGATTGTTAACCCCTGTTCGTGCAAAGGGCCTAGATAGTACAGCACTAAATTGATCAGCGTTAAATTGTTCGTCACTACATAACCATTCTTTTCTTGCCACCATATCAATCTGAACACTCTGAAAATATTTATCATAGTTTTTCCTGGAAAACTCAAGTCGCTATACCGAAAGTTCGTCGTACTGATTTCCATTTTGTCTATTTTGGAGTTAAACTTTGGCAGTCGGTGCCTGGGGCATGGTATCAGCCGGAAAAGTTGAGGTGCGGAGTACAAAAAGTTAAATATTTGAGGTATAAAGAACAAGAGAGTTGTCTTGCTAAAGTGTCCCAGGATTCCTACGACGGCAAATGTCATACCGCTGAAGTAGCAGAAGGTGTCGCCTACGAACACCTTGGATGGATACCTGGAAATCAATCAATGAATTAATCGATTTTACATTTAAATCCACAAATCAATAATAGGAATTTTCAATTGAAGATTAAAATTTCATCATTTTTGATTGTAAAACCAGGTATTTGAAATATATAATGTATGGATGTTACTGTTTTTTTTCTTTAGATATCTATCATCAAACACTGGAAGCCCTTACAAACCATCTTCTAGACTCAACACCAAAACAATACCTTACCTAAAGGGGCAGGCAGTGTGCAACTAACCTTCAGCCATATCGATCCCAATGTAGACCCACCTTAAGCGATGACTCACTAGTCAGATGCGATGACACATGACCGACTGAACGAAAACAAATGAAGTGACAGCAAACTGTGAGGTTAAGAGCACAGGGGTTGGGAAGTTGGGATCGTTCAAAGATGTGGGGTGTTTTTTCTTTTTGGGAAGCTGTTCCAAATTTAACATGAAATTCAAAATTAGATCAAAGTTGTTCACAGCTGAAAGTAATACCGGCACACTCTGTGTTAAACACGGCAAGTGAAAAAAGAAAATTGTGATGTAGTTAGGTGATAAATGTATACTTTCCGTTTATATCTGAAAAGAAAGGGCGTTTTTATAATATTTGCAGTACAATTATGTATTATACTAGCATATTTATTTGTGCAATTCCAATCGGGATATCAAGAATCAAACAAAATTACATTTGTAAGAAATTACGATTCAACTGAAAGAGTTACACAGACTTATCACACAAGCAATTTTGTACTGAAGCTAGTCAACACCAGAGAAAATTATGTGAATTTCAACTCGAGCTTGTGCTTCAGATATGGAACAGATTTGGTGTCCATGACAATGTCAAAGGTTTGTATCCATGTTGTCATAAAACAAATGATACTCAGTAGTTTGTTTTGCTCTTCTGCACCTTCACCTATATTGGTTTTAGTATTTATCAACAAATACCACATCAAGTTTGAAACACATGATCAGTAATGACATTCAAATGAAACACTCCTTTTTCATGTGGTACACACATCTTATGATGAATTTGTACTGTCGGAATAGTAGAATAAAGTAGTATATCATAACTACAGCTGTCTTTAAATTATTAGCAGCTATATTGGTTTAAATGTGTTCAGAAATCTTAGTAATTAATTTATGCAATACAACTTACACAAAAGTGTCAGCATTGTTAGTAAATATAAACCAGTACAAAAGCAGATTATGGGGTATTCCAAATGGCAACAAATGATCAGCTGTCATTTGTTGTCACATTTTGATGTATTGAAGTTCATTTCCCTTTATGGGCTCATCATTGATGAATAAGCAAAAATAACTATATGTATAGTGTTGCTGTTTATCAAACATATTTGACAGTTCAAGGGTATACAAATTATTTTGACATTCATTTTTCATAGGGTAACAATTGGAGCTGTAAGTGCTTGCAAGGCTGGCATGGAAATGATTGTGGACAACCTGAAGTACTCTGGAGAGCTTTACTAGCTCATCATAAACCAAATAAAATAAAAGGACCAAGAACATTTGAGAGAAGACTGATATATCTGTTCAAAGTGAATGAGTTTACAGAACATCTAGCTGACATTAGAGTCAACGAATTAGGTATGAGATGAAGTGTAACTCAAATGCTCAAATATGAATTCAATTTGAAATTAACTGCTAACCACAAAACGAGAAAATTGAGAATCCTTATAAGCCTTATCCGCTTTATAACCTAAAATAGCACAAGATTAACACATGTCTAGGATGCACAAAGTGTGCACAATTTGAAAATCAGTCTAGTGGTGGCAGAGGTTATGAGTCAGAAGCAATAACTGAAGCGTTGTTTGTGTATGTGTTTTAGAGTATCTGATACTCTTTATGTGAAAAACAAATGATCTTGCATTTTAAAAATACTCCAAGTTTCCTATGTATATCCATATAAGTGAAATTCCATAACATATTCATTCAATCTAGTCTCTGTTTCATTTTTATTTATCATGCTTACTGACCTGGAAGTATAGTGATTGCAGAATATTTCAAAATTGTGATTGTTTTTGGATATTATATCCATTTATCAGTCCTTCTATCTGTCTATCATCTGACTGGTAAAACATGGCCCCACTATGACTTGGATTTTGATGAAATTATGAAACAAGGTTGATACTATACTCAGTAGCAGATATAAAGGGAGGAGGGTGATAGGGCCAAACATTTCAAAACATTCTCAATTTTTCTCATTTCAATGGTTGTGAAACATTTGTAAAATTCGTTCTTCAAAGTTCTCCAACTTTCTAGACATTCCAGTTGAATAAAAATAGCAAGCTTATTTTTTACTTCCCATGCTATACTGGCAAGGAAGTATTGTAATCGCGAAAAATTTCGAAAATGAAATATGTCATTTCCGTCTGTTTGTCCGCTAATCCTTGGAAAGTACTGCTCGGATTTTTATGAAATTTTTACTCGTGATATCTATTATGCCAAGTGCGAAAAAGCTTTGCAGTTATTGAAAATAAGTCCAGCTGCGGCGCAGAAAAAGGCCAAGAACGAAAAAGGTATAATCGCTCAAACTTCGTTTATTTGACGTTTTAAGGACAATGATCATTTGAAAAAAAAATTGCGGTAAAAAAAATTGAGGGGAGGGGGTGGGTAGGGTATATCTCAATTTTTTGATATGTCAGTATATTTAAACGCTCCCAACCTTGGTAATTTTATGCACCTAATATATATCAAATATTTTTTTATCATATTCTGAAAGGCTCAATCTGTTCAATAAAGAGAAATTTTGTACCAACAATACACCCAATATTTTTATTACTGCAATTACAAAAACTTTCTTGTTCTGCCAAACATAAGACTCTATGAATGACAATATCCTTTTTTTCATTTTACACTATTCCAGGTAGTGTTGTCGACTTATTCATCCTCTATGAAGACGAAAATACAAACTACCTCCGACACAAACTGAATAACAACTTCTGTAAGGAGCACCACAACAAAATCCTATATGCGCAAGAAACAAAAGACAATCTATGGGAGAGATGTATCCCGCTTCTGAAAAATCTCAGAGACGACGATATAATTCTAGCGAATGACAACAATGAGATTCCTAATAAAGATGCTTTGATTTTCCTCAAGTACTATGATCGATGGCCTGAACCAATCAGATTCCGGATGAGATGGTCAGTTTTCGGATTTTTTTGGATGCATCCCAGCAAAACTATAACCAGTGGTGGTGCGTGCACTGTATCCTTCCTCAAAGACTCCTTTAATAATCAATTCAAACTTTTGAGTGATAACAAGACTCTTTCTAGTCCTTTATACAAAGGCCTAACTCTAGGTGATTTGAACCACTATGGCGGTTGGTTTTGTGAATATTGTACCGACGCGGCGCATGTTGTTAATTTTTTAGCGAATAAACCTAAAAATATAAATTGGAATAAGATTAACTATAAGAAAATCGATCAAAATTATATAGAGGAATTAATAGAGAATGGTGTTTATATTGATGGTGTAACACAGTTAGAAAAAGCACACAAGTATCATGATAAGTACTTTGCACCACCTTTTGTTCGAGATCATGACTGGAAGTATGATTTTCTTTTAATTAATTTCTATTCAAAAATGGATTATTATGAAGGTTGATTTGAAGTATATCAAGGAGTCCTCCTTCAACTCAAAGGAGGTACAAAACAGTTCCCATTCCTCATACAAGGCTTATTGGCAAGTCTATACATACATATATGTACAATCCTACAATACATACACATATGAAACAAGATTAACGTTTTTAGTACCATGTGTTTATTTAAGAAAGTCTCTGTTTAATTTTTTTCTCACTTGTTTTTAGCCCTGCACCACTCCTAGATAATTTTATAAAGCCTTTTTCAGCCACATTTCAATTGACCTACTGAAGATATGGGTATTGTGAGTTATTTCTATGTATGCTTGCATTCAGCATAAAATTGTGATATTTTTATTTGATTCTTTATGATACAAGATTTTATCTTCATCCTCCGAGAAACAGTTATTTATATTATGACGGCAGGGTATTTATATTATCCATTTATCATACTGCAGTTATTACTATGTATACATTATTTCATATCACAGTATATGAATCAATCTTATTTATATACACTTTTAAAATAATTTATAAATAAAATGTATTGAAAGTTGAATTGGTGTTTTTATGTGATTCAAGACAATTTTCTACAATTGCCCAGCAAAATAATTTTTTATACATGTGCTTGACATCTGCCGAGTACCCATCAAAATTGACAACTTTGCCACTGTAGAGCTCACAAATATATCTTTTGTTGATTGTACATTTTCATAGTAGCATGGAGAACATTTGTCCTCCTAGTCTAATATTTTGAAGTAATGCTTGTTGATCCTTTTTTTTTAATGCTTGTAAAATAGTGTCAAAAAATGGACTACACTGGTCAGTTTGCAGTACAAAGTTATTATGAAATGATTATATAGTCTTTGTGGTGAATTGTTTCCTCCACTTGTATGTGCTCCAACATGTCAAATTTTGAAAAACTGGATTTGACATTTCAATCATAATTCATTTTCGCCTCTTCTGTGCAAAACATTTTTATATTTTCCAGTTAACAAGACTTCATCTCCAGTCTTGTATGTATTGTGATTTGCATTACTCTAATTAAATTAGTTCAATCATGAATTTTATCATATTTATGAAGACTTTTCACTACATTGTTCTACACCTGTTAGGCTAGAAACACTATTTTGTATGACTCTCTATACTGAAGCAGCTGCTAATAATATGTCACAAATAAAAATAAAATGCCTTTCTGATAGTGTGATAAAAACACCTAGGTACTTTTGTATTGCTCTAATCTATATTGACTTGCTTAAATAGGCGATTAGATAATTTATCTATCTACTTACCAGTTGTACTTGAGCAAAGCTAGAGTAGTGGCAGTATATGGCAGCATAAAATAAAGACTGAACTGATGTGCTTTCCACAAATTCCCAGACAATTCAATCAAATTAAAAATTATTATTGAGATTGCAATAATAATACTCTGGCCTGCCTCTAACCCATTTACACCAGCTAAAATATTTATGGCATTGGTACAGAATACGGCCAACATGCCCATGTATATGTAGTATAGTATCCCAATGTCGATAGAGAGGCCTAAATATTCACTGAAAGGTTTAGGCACAATGATTGTTGTGGAGTTGAAGTTTACATAATATACCATCAGTAATGGTAGGGATGCAATTGTCGGAAGAAGTAATTTGTGCCTCCAAAGGAGATCTAGTACATCATCAGCAAAGCCTAATAGTAGCATACAGCAAATGGATAGTAGTGCTGCTATCAATTCCACAAACTAAAACAAAATTTACTCAAATCAGACTCCAATTTTTTCAACGAGAAGCTATGAATCAGACAGTCCAGATAGAATACTGAGCCAGAAAAATCATGATTTATTGTTATACTTACTTCGTTGTGGGGGAAGCCTCCTTCCCAAAGACTCTTCCCAAAAGGCACTGGTATGAATAGAAACATTGTAATTAGGAATGTGCATCCTGTTACCATGCCTAGGGCTTCAGGGCTAAGGATTATCAAAATTAATAACATAAAATGAAAAAGGCATAACCTTACATTTTATCACTTGTTGTTTTGCTCATATCGATTCCGAACAAGTTGGCTTTGATAAACTTGTCTTTGATGCTTGGTATCACTTTTACTGTAATACAGTATGCCCCAATGGACATAATGAAATTTATTATTATTGGAATCCACATTTTTGCGGATTGTTCTGTATTTACATCTGCCGCCATAATTTAAAATCTGTTTAAAGTTGAAATTAATCATACATCACAGAACAAAAAAGTAGCATACACGTCATCACCGTCATTTCCAGAATCGACCAATCACCGAGCAATGGGGAATGAAAACATGGAATCTAGTTTCTAAAAAATGTTATAGGGAGTGATCAATATCTTCCTCAGCTTCGTCTCCGTGTACCCGTATATAGTGGATACCAAATAAAACCCGATGCACGTCATCGATCTGGAGCTGTGCGCTGTTGCCAGAATTTGCACATTTTCTTTTAAGCAAATAAATTTAATAAAATAAATTGTTTATATATACCTACCATTTACTATAATACCATTATATCAAAAATAAATAAACTTGTTGTAAAATTAAATTCCTTTCTGAATAAAAACACCTGATTTGGTAGATATTCAAAAACACAAAATATTTAAAGAACATAAATTGTTTTCTCGTATTTTAATTAATTTGATTATTTATTTATGATATGGGAACTACAACACTTTTTCAATTCACATCAAAGAGAAGAAAGAACTCGGGTGATGCGATGTTACACAATACCGGCAACTAGCGGCAAGGAGTACTCTTTATGGAGCCTGATATTAACCGCATGGTATGGTTCAGTTGTATATCAATTCCGGAGTTTGATTACATTATACAGAATATATTTTGATGATTTAACTATTCTGAATCACTGGAACCAGTAGAGTCATCGTTAACATGGATAATAAGGGGAAGAATTTCCTGTCTATCCATTACTTGTTCCCTTCTATACCATTTCATAATTATCTCCTCTGTATGTCTAATGGAGTTCTTCCACATATCAGGGGTAATAGTTTGGAGTGCCTCTTGCCACATTTTTAGGCAGTCATTTTCAGTGTGGCCATCTCTTCCAATATGCCGATTATAGTAATTTTTTGCAATCCCCCAAATTAGCTCAATTTGGTTAAAAATACAGTGGTATGGAGGTAACCGTAAAACTTTCTGTCCATATTGTTCTGCCAAGTTATCGACCACATACATTTTGGTTGGTTTATTCCTAAAAAAAATAAATAGGAACAAAATGCATAAAGATTGGGTATTCTGCTCACTGTGCAACAATCGTTAGAAGTTCAGATTTGAATGCTTCATGTGGATACTGTATTTTTGTTCAGTTAACCAATTCTGAATTTCAGCCTTTCTCCATGAGCTATTGGGAGTTTGAAGGGCATGTCTCTTTAATAACTGGAAACCTTGCGGTAATACTTAACATCATCAAATATAAAAGTAGGATGATCCGTGCTTAATTGGAGCATTTATTAATTAAACAGCTTGTTGACAGAAGGTTCTTTGAATTTTAGGTTTATATAATTTCTTTACGATAACATTTTACATAGGCGGATCTACACACTCGGCTTGGGCTCCTGCAGGGGTATTACGAAAGAAAAAAAGATATAATGCACACTCGGCTTGAACGCCACTTAAGGACAAATGAAACCACGACCTGTAGAAAGAATTTGCAGCTCAAGCCATTGCGTCGAGCAAGGCTTATGTGAATATCAAGTTGTCGCATGTTTACGGATATTTTCTTATTGGGTGACAATTTGTTGCCCGCATGTATTCTGGGTATGTACCTCGTATATCAATACAACATTCCAATGACTGCAACAGTGGCAACGTCCTTCAATGTTCGTGTCAAGTGTTTTGTGTTTTGTGATAATTTGTAGGTGTTGATTGTTGATATGTAGATGTGTAGCACGTACCAGTTTTGTGTCTAGCAGCATTATATGCAGCAAATTTGTAGATTGGCTACCTACCCTTTTTTTCCAAAAATTCGTGAGACAATATGATATAAGGATAAAGTACTTAAAGTGTGCCTAAAGTCTAATGGTACATACTCCTATTAATTAATTTTAGCCTTGAAAATGTCTTCAACTGAAGCTGACAGTGATAGTGAGCCAAAAAAGAAGAGAACGTTTAATCCGTCAATGTATAAAAGGAATATTATAAAAAATTCTAAAATTAAAGGAGACGCGTATGCGAATTACAGAGGCAAACAAATACCTCCAAGGTGCACCGGCAAAAATTGCAGCCAAGCTTCTTCCAAACCTTAGACAGTTTTTACTTTTTGTTCAAATTTTTAAACAACTTTTTGCAAACATACTGATTGAACGCATAAAGCATTTAAGTGAATGTAGTACTAACCGAGTTAAAATTAAACATTTTGACAGAAGCAGGAATCCCTGGATAACTAAAGGTTTGATAAAGTCTGCCAACAGAAAAGAGGAACTATACAAAATAATGAAAGCATCCTCCAGGTGCTGATACCTCCCGTAAATATAATGAATATAAAAATATTTTTATCAATCTAGTTAGAGAAGCAAAATGCCAATTTTATCTAACAAAAATTACAAGATGTCAAATCTGATCCAAGAAAACTGTGGTCGGTTGTCGATCACTTTTTTATTTGGTCGGCACATGTATAACCTACAAAGAACTATCAACGAAAATAACACAATCAAACTTAGTAGAAAATTCCAAACGTCCATGAGTCGCTGACTTGATGGTGCTTAAAAGACATGTTCATAAGTTTTATAACAAAATTTCATCTGTTCAAATATATGGGAATGGGAGGAATGACGAGATGATGTTGATAAGATACCTATACAAAATGTTTGTTTATAAATGATAGTTATGGGTTCACTGTTTTAGTACTAACGATATAAAAACAGACAAATCAACATTTTACATTTATTATGAAAGCATTATTGCTAAAAAGGTAAAGGCGAGCGCTGTAATGTAATGTAACAAAAATTCGCTAGTGAATCGCTAAAGCGGGCGCCGAACAGAGCCGCTCACGTCGAGCAAATGGTGCTCCACTTGACTGTCTGTTTTTTGATGAGTCCCTTGGATGGTCACATTACAAGTCAGTACAGGTGGCGACTAGTTCCTCTGTGACCACAGTATCTGCAGTGTTCTTATTTTATTAGTTGAGATGGAACATATGGAGTGAAAACTTTAATTTGTATGGATTTATATCGTACTAAAAGTATACTATGGGTTCCGCAACATACGGAATATTATAACAAAATCAAGAAACATGATGCGTGGCAACAGCTCTAGGTTTTTTAAGATACTCATCTCGCACCACCCTTTACATTCCTTTCTCTAAATAAATCTGTTTGCCACCACCGTCTCTTTTTTCTTTTTTAGTAAGTTGCAATAGCTCATTAATATGAACCCAGCACTAGCTACTTCTAGGTCTGATATTTCGACACAGATAGTATTATTGGGCCACATATTAATAATTTAGAGTAAAATATCATGATGAAATTGAGGTAACCATTAAGATGTATAATATGCTTGAAAATTAACAAAATGTATAGGTATTCTCCTGGCGTGCTCCATTCCCGACAACAAATCTCTGTATAAATAACTATATTAACATTTTCACGAGTATCCATTATGCTAGAATGATAGGTGATTATCTAGAAATATTTCAAAATTCCCCATATCAGCACAGGACACATAATTCTAACGGATCTGACAGTGAAAAGTAGACAGAGCCGTGTTTTGTTTTTTGTACGTTACGGATTCATTTTGTACTTGCTAAGAAAAGTTCATCTACATAAAAACAAAATGCTACAAACAAGTTTCACTTTTAATTTTTGTAGATAATAATGTACTCATAGAGATATGCCTGACGTGTCTTATATCATTCCTATGATCCGAAGACAATAAAGCATCTATCTATCTTTACAGCCGATTCATTATTGCCAACATAGCAGACTAATACACAAATGTCACTCGTTGATCAGCTGTTCACCTCAGTAGACGTCAAAGTGTGATGGATACCCGTGAAATAGGGTATAATGATGTAGCAATACATACGAATACCCATTGTATTGTTTCATGAAAATAGACGTTAAACATTTGTATAATCTCATAAAATAAATAAGATTTAGTGGTTACTCAAAATTGTATCGCCGTCACTTGACGCAAGTAAAATTTCATATTTTCGTGTAGATGGGACGATTTGACCTTGTTCAATATGTAGAAAATTAAGTAATAATAGTTGGAAACTAGCCCCATATGGCCTACTGAAATAGAGAACACGGCAGTTGATGCTTACGTAGCGTTGGCAGTGGTTCCAATTTTACTCTTATCAGTAAATATTACTGAATTTCAACGATACATTACTGCACCTAAGAAAAAAAAACAAAGATTTTTGAATACAAAAGTCACAAATCATATATATAATAATTATTAGGTAATGTTCTTTTTTTTTCATGTACGTTTTTGTCACTACCCTGGCTTCTGTTCGCTGGCAGTTTTCATGTCACTTGTTATTTTATTCTTCTTTTTCTACTTTTTACTTTTTGTCAATAAAAAATATAAACAACCTTCGAACCTTCGAAAAAAGTGTTTAGCTTCCAATCACAACTGTTACCCTGAGGATCTGTGAGCTCTCAATCTATACGAGTCTCTTGTTTCAGGACCGCTGGATGGGATGAGTTACTACGTTATTTTTAATAAAGATTCAATTTATTTTGCTAATAGTAGGTATTTATGGTAAATCACGTTTAAAGTACATTTTTTATAGTTTAAATGTCATCCTGCTGGCCACACATTTTCTCCTGGTACCCATAAACGCTGTTAAAATCAAAATATTATCTGACCCTGTTACATATGTATCATACAATCTAATGACATAATCAATATGAAAACAACATATTTTTCTTCGTTGACACTGAAACCCCAAATATAGCGTACACCCACCGTTATATCTATTTTCAGACGGCTGTTCTGGTCAAAATAAAAACAATACATTATTGAGATTCTTGCTGGCTTTGGTAAACAATTTGAAAAAGTTTATTAGTATTTTCCCATGCATGGTCATTTTTACCAACTCATCGTGATTTAGGAGTCATAAAAGAACTGTTCAAAAGCATGATTCTATCTACGTGCCGGAAGATACATTGATTTGGTTAAGCTCGCTTTTACAGTCAAAGGGCTAGTTACACTCTAGTTATACTATACATGAATCGTCTACATCCGATGTTTTTAGACTATAATTCTCATTGATACAGTTAAGCCATATTACAATTACTTTTGTAATAAAGGAAGGTCGAGCAAATTAAAAAGGTAATTTTACAAAAAGGTGTATATGTTATGTCATAGTATGTCAAAATGTAGTAAAGTATGATCTT